GGTGGATTTGAACTGCTGACTTTTTGGTTAGCAGCCAAGCTCTTAACCACTGCACCACCAGGGCTCCGCTAACACTACTAGGATCTACACAGTTAAGGAGATCCCTTTATGGGAAATGAAAGTGAAAGACCATTGACAGAATTCTCTTTTCAATCACTGGGCAAGACATCTGTGAAATATTTCACACTGGCCCTGGGGAGAGGAATTTCCAAAGAAAATCTCAAGAGGTAAAATTTAGAGAGAAGCTCCAAAGAGATTACTTGCCCTGCTGACTCAGCATTGTAAGTTTTGTTTGTACTGCCTAAAGCTCCACTCCTACAGTGATAACCCCCATTAATTCCTTGGATTTGACACATCCAGATCTGACACATCCAGATCTGCTCTTCTACTCCTTGGGGCAGGGTTAATGATGGAGCCAGGGAAAGGAATTCTGAGCTCCTCCTTGTGTTTGGATCATGCCTTGTGCATTCAGAACTAGAGACAGATGTGTCAAATTGTGCTGAGTTGGGCAAAGCACCAGTCAGTACAAATAAGTAAGCATTTATTAAGCACCACTTTCTACCTTCTCTGAGCATAAACTGAATCTAAGAAAATTCTATGGCTATAAATTTTTTTCCTTGCAGAGTTCAGTCTTTTCTACTCCAAGTGCCATTGGAAATCACAATTCCTGATATGTTTCTGTCATACAATGCCTTCCTTCCTTCTTTCTCTCCTTCTTTTTGCTTCTTTGCTTCCTTTAATCTTTCCTTTTTTTTTTTTTTCCTTACTACCACCACAGTGAAGGCACTTATTCACCTTCCTTGTTTTGGATACAAGGGACATATGATGAATATCTCAGGGTGTTTTTAGGTTTGTAGGGTGAGAAAAGCAAAGCAGGTTATAGAAGGGCATTTCTGAGGGTCTTTGTAAGAAATCAGATGTTTATTGGATGGATGCATGTTAGGGAAAAAATAAAATAATGTGGCCAGCAAGATATTAGCATATGTTTCTGATGAACTTTGTTTCCTAAATTGGTGGTAGAATTTTTTAATATAAGGCATAGTAAGTATTCCATAATTTGAGGATGTGATAATCTACCTAATTATAGGAGTCTTCATAAGACTAAAATATTAGAAACATGCTACTTGAACACTATATTCTTCATCAAAACCTTGGCCGTCTGGATCCCTCAGGAAAGTAGTGATTTTGGACATAAAGTTATCCAAGTATTTTAGCTGATTTTTAAATGGAACTCTTCCTATAAATGTACCATACATGTTCCAGGCTTCTTAAGCATAGGAAAATGAAACCCATTTATCTTTCCTTTGACGGTTCAATGTCATCTCTGTAATATGTTACTCAAATGTATAGTAGAGGTATATAAGAATATAGCAAGGACCCCCTTCCAGGCAGCAGATGCCCCTGGCTTTGACGTTCCAGAACCTTGAATGATTCTCGGGGAGATACTAGTAAAAGTCTCAACTCTGCGTCCTGGCTTTCAAGGCTGACCACCCTACTTGCACACTCTTCTTTCACCTCAGTAACAACCTCACACTAGCCAGGCCCATCTCACATCCTCTCCTCTGTCCAAAGCTTGGCTTTTATTTTTTTATCCATGTGCCACATTTTCTGGCATATTTCCTCTCTCCTTTGCCTATTCAGATTGTCTCAAACTTGGAGGATAGCTTTCAGCAAGTACATCTCCCAACAAGCATGTGCACTGGGCTCTGCCAGCTCCCCAGAAGTCTCCTATTGCACACTCTGTCCTACTCACTCAGACTCTTCCGTCTGTCTTACTTCTCAGCTAGTGCATGCAGATAGCTGTCTTATTTTGTCGGAGAGCTTGTAAGTGACAGAGGTCAAGAACCACACTTTCACTTTCCCCAATACCTAACAGTGTGACACCTTCAGTCAAGTTTTCAGTCCATCATAAAATGCATGAATCTAAAAGGTGAACACTCTTAATGCTAACTTTTGCTGAGAGCATGCAACTTAAACTCACTCTCCTGTAAATGTATTTCACCATGAAAGAACAAAGGGCAAGACCTCAATTTCATACAATCCTCAACTCTAGTGAAGGAGTTAAAGCAATCAGATCACATGTGTAAGTGCCAGCTATTGTTTTCCCAACAAGACCATTGAGTAATTCCCCATGATTGTGCATTGACAGCCAGGATTTAGACACCAATTTTATAATATCTTCAACAAAAAATTAAGAGAAGCTTGCTTAAGGAATGTTTCTGTTACATGAGTGGTTCTAAGTACTTGAAGTATTCAGTTTAGATCCCATTAATCTCCTGGTTGGGGAGGGGGAGATAAATACTAAAGCTGTTATCAGTGGGACTCTATGCACAGCCACACTTGGCTTGCACAGATGTCAACCCCTAAAGAAGTATTCTTTAACTTTCATTAATTCAGGCCTCACTAATGAGGAAGATGGAATCATCTGGGTGGGCTGAGTTCCAACATGCAAAGCAAATACTGTAAACAAAATAGAGAAAAGGTTCAAACCATTTTATATGAATAATTTTTATATATACTTTATTTGCTAATTATAAACCCAGCTAATTATCACTACCATTTAGTTCAGTAGTTCTCAAACTAGCATGTATCAGAATCACCTGAGCACTACAACCAACATTACTGATTCAGTAGATCTAGGTCTAGGATGGGCCCAAGAATTTCAATTTCTGACAAGTATCCAGGTGGTGTTAATACTATTGGTCAGGAACCACACTTTGGGAAACCACTGACCTGTCAGAGAAGACCTCAACTAGAAGGTGGTATCTCGGTAAAGACCTAGAGGAGGTGAGGTAGTGACCATGTGGATATATGGGTATTATAAGCAGAGGGAACAGCCAGTGCAATGGTCTTTTGAGGTGGGAATATACTTTGATGGATTCAAGGAATACTGAGGCTAGTGTGGCTAGAATGGAGCCATAGAAAGATCAGAAAGGTAGTGGGGAAGAAGGGTGTGCAGATCATATACATTCTTTAAGCAGGCAGATCCCAGTGAGAAAGCGAAGTGGAAAAGATTTAGATATGCATATCCACTTCCTCTCTCAAACTTATGAATCATATAAGTCACTTATTTTTATGTAGGGGGAAATGAATAAAGGGGCAGAGAGAGGCCAGGAATGTTACTTTAATGGATGAGCCCTCCACATGGAGGGAAACATGGAATGAAGACTATCTCCAAATAGATAGTTGTGTGTATTTGCACATGTAAACTCATCAAATGATTAGAACTGGAGCTAAATAGAGTAAGGAAACTGATTACATAAGCTGGGTTCTAACAGTTGAGCAGGTGTTTTTCAGGCAAAGATTTCAGAAGTGGACAAAGGGTGGGAGATCTGCGGGGTGGGGGTTAGCACATAAAATAACGAGAAAACAAGAAAGAAGGTGGTATATTTAACATACTGTGGGATGCTCAAGGTGACAAATCTATGTAACGTGAAGTAGGTGCCAATAAATACTTATGGGAAGGCCATCAAGCTAAGGGGCATGGGGTGTATTCTGTAGGCAATGAAGGCATAGAGATTTTGAGCAGGGGAATGAACAGTCAGGTTTTGTCTTTAGGGAGACAATTGTGAACTAGAACAGTGGTTTTCAAAGTGTGGTTCCCAGGCAGCAGCAATATCACCAGGGAATTTATTAGAAATGTGTATTAGCTGTGGCGAAGTAGTTAAGAGCTTGGCTACTAACTATAGTAGTTCAAATCAGGGCTTCAAACTGGTTCCTTCCAGTTCAAACTCCTGCTGAGAACTTGCATTTGCACCCTAGATATACTGAATCAGAACCTACATTTTAACAACCTCCTCAGGTAATTCTTATGTATAATTAATTTTGAGATCCACTGTGCTGCTACGGCTGCTAACCAAAAGGTCAGCAGTTGGAATCCACCAGCCACTCCTTGGAAACCCTATGGGGCAGTTCTATTCTGTCCTGTAGGGTTGCTATGAGTCAGAACCAACTCGAGGACAACGGGCTTGGTTCTACTAGTGGTTCTCAGAATTGGTCCCTAACCAGCAGCATTAGCATCACCCAGGAACTTGTTAGAAATGCAAATTCTCAGCAGGAGTTCGAATGAGAACAAACCAGTTCGAAGCCCTGGTTCAAATTCACCCAGAGTCACCTTGGACGATCTGCTTCCCAAACATCACAGCCATTGAAAAACCTCTGGAGCACATGCAGTCACCATAAATCAGAATCAGCTCCAGAGCACTGATTGTTGGTTTTACCACAAAGTTATTATATCAGAAACTCTAGGGGTGGGGTCCATCTATTTGTGCTTTAACCAGCCCTTCCAGGTGATTCTGATACATACTAAAGTCTGAGACTCACTTGACTAGAGTGACAACCCCAGTGACAGATCAAATAATAATCTAGAGGAGAATAAAGCTTGAATTTAGAAAGTTGAAGACAGTAGGCATGGGGAAGAAATGCCAAAATCTAGATGCGCGTGCATGGAAGTAGATGTGGAAATTTGGGAGTAAAATCTACCAATTGATATCCCATACCTTTTAGTGATTTAGTCTAAACAAGGAAGGTTAAGATGTAAAATAGACCTTTTTAGACAAAGCAATGAATAAAAATAAATGAATACAAAAAGCAGATGAGTAACAAAGTTGGGAATTTCAAAATATTAAAAAAATTTTTGATGAGTTTAAAATTATAGAGACCTGATCTGATCTTCACCATGAAATGTTATGTAGAATTTCTCTACATATAGAATATGCTTTCTGCTCCACCAAGAATCCAATGGGTAGGAAATAAGGTAAGTAGGTACTTTAGATTAGATCCCACTGGACCAACAGACAGAACAGTGAAGCAGCTTTCCAGATTGGAAACTTGGAAACTGCTTCTTTTATTATTATAATTCTCCAAATAGGATGATTTGAGCCTAAATTAGGTCATCTTTGGAATCAAATTTACCTAGCTTAGTTGTCCCACTTAATTTTATACCCTGTAATGAAAATATAACTTCGAGATCCAACATGTAAATTTAAAACTTCTAACTGGTGCTCGCTTCAGCAGCGCATATACTATAATTGGAACGATTAGATAGATGGTTGCCCCTGTGCAAGGATGACACGCAAATTCGTAAAGTGTTCCATTATTTTTCAGTGTCAATATGGTGGTTGTGATATTGTACTATAGTTTTGCAAAATATTGTCATTGGGGGAAATTGGGTAAAAGGGTACACAGGATCTCTCTGTATTATTTTGTATAACTAAATGTGAATCTACAAAAAGGATGGGAAACCTGAAAAAAAAAAAACTTCTGATTTTTTTCATGAGAAATGTGAAAAAAAATGTTCAGATTATGACCTATTTTTCTTTTTGAAGTCCTTCCAATTTTATCAACAATTATTTGGAACAACTTTTAAAAGATTAAATTTCCTCATTTAAAAGTTCTAATTTGGACAGAAAAGTTGGTAGTTTTGTTTTTGCCTTACTTTGTACCTTCTAATTTCAAAATGCAGTGTTAATCAGTTAAATATAAAATATCCTACCTCTACAACAAAAAGATAAATAATCCTATTAAAAAATGGGCAAAGGAAATGAACAGACACTTCACCAAAGAAGACATTCAAGCAGCCAACAGACACATGAGGAAATGCTCACTATCACTAGCCTTTAGACAAATGCAAATTAAAACCACAATGAGATAACCATCTCACCCTGGCATTACTGGCACAAATCAAAAACACTGGAAATAACAAATGTTGGAGAGGCTGCAGGGAGATCCGAACTCTGATGCACTGCTGGTGGGAATGCAAAATGATACAACCATTTTGGAAAATGACATGGTGCTTCCTTAGAAATAGAAATACCATAAGATCCAGCAATCCCATTCCTAGGAATATATCCTAGAGAAATAAGAGCCATCACACGAATAGACACATGAACAACCATGTTCTTTGCAGCATTGTTCACAATAGCAAAAAGATGGAAACAACCTAGATACCCATCAACAGATGAATGGATAAACAGATTAGGGTACATACACACAATGGAGTATTATGCAACGAGAAAGAACAATGATGAATCTGTGAACCATCTCATAACATGGATGAACCTGGAGAACATTATGCTGAGTGAAATAAGTCAATCACAAAAGGACAAATATTGTATGAGACCTCTACTGTAAAAACTTCATGAAAAAGTTTACACACAAAAAGTAACAATCTTTGCTGGTTATGAGGGATGGGAAGGGGTCGGGGGAGACTAGTCAATAGGTAAGTGGTAACTTTGGTGAAAGGTAAGACAGTACACAGTACTGGGGAAGCCAGCACAACTTGTACAAGGAAAGGTCATGGAAGCTCCATAGACACATCCAAACCCCCTGAGGGACTGAATTGCTGGGCAGAGGGCTGTGGAGACCATGGTCTCAGGGAACATCTAGCTCAATTGGCATAACACAGTTTATAAAG